AACACCAGTGTACAGGGCCCAGAGTGTGTACACTGAACACCAGTGTACAGGGCCCAGAGTGTGTACACTGAACACCAGTGTACAGGGCCCAGAGTGTGTACACTGAACACCAGTGTACAGGGCCCAGAGTGTGTACACTGAACACCAGTGTACAGTGCCCAGAGTGTGTACACTGAACACCAGTGTACAGGGCCCAGAGTGTATACACTGAACACCAGTGTACAGGGCCCAGAGTGTGTACACTGAACACCAGTGTACAGGGCCCAGAGTGTGTACACTGAACACCAGTGTACAGGGCCCAGAGTGTATACACTGAACACCAGTGTACAGGGCCCAGAGTGTGTACACTGAACACCAGTGTACAGGGCCCAGAGTGTATACACTGAACACCAGTGTACAGGGCCCAGAGTGTGTACACTGAACACCACCAGTGTACAGGGCCCAGAGTGTGCACACTGAACACCACCAATGTACAGGACCCAGAGTGTGCACACTGAACACCACCAATGTACAGGACCCAGAGTGTGTACACTGAACACCACCAGTGTACAGGGCCCAGAGTGTGTACACTGAACACCACCAGTGTACAGGGCCCAGAGTGTGTACACTGAACACCACCAGTGTACAGGACCCAGAGTGTATACACTGAACACCACCAGTGTACAGGGCCCAGAGTGTGTACACTGAACACCACCAGTGTACAGGGCCCAGAGTGTGTACACTGAACACCACCAATGTACCGGACCCAGAGTGTGTACACTGAACACCACCAGTGTACAGGGCCCAGAGTGTGTACACTGAACACCACCAGTGTACAGGGCCCAGAGTGTGTACACTGAACACCACCAGTGTACAGGGCCCAGAGTGTGTACACTGAACACCACCAGTGTACAGGGCCCAGAGTGTGTACACTGAACACCACCAGTGTACAGGGCCCAGAGTGTGTACACTGAACACCACCAATGTACAGGGCCCAGAGTGTGTACACTGAACACCACCAGTGTACAGGGCCCAGAGTGTGTACACTGAACACCACCAGTGTACAGGGCCCAGAGTGTGCACACTGAACACCACCAGTGTACAGGGCCCAGAGTGTGTACACTGAACACCACCAATGTACAGGACCCAGAGTGTGTACACTGAACACCACCAGTGTACAGGGGCCAGAGTGTGTACACTGAACACCATCAGTATACAGGGCCCAGAGTGTGTACACTGAACACCACCAGTGTACAGGGGCCAGAGTGTGTACGTTGAAACATCACATTATACATGATTGTGTGAGTTAAGGACGTTTGTGGCATTCATTAACCTATTAGCTAAGGGCACGAGACTTGGACGCCTTGTGTTAGTGTGGGTGTAGTTGAGCAGACCACACACTAGAAGGTGAAGGGACGACGACGACGTTTCGGTCCGTCCTGGACCATTCTCAAGTCAATTGTGATGAGGAAGTAGAGACAGGGAATAAATAGGCAAGAGAGAGGTGAGGAGTAGTTCCCTCACTACTAGAGTAGAGTTTGGGGGTAGTTCCCTGTGTAGTGTTGGCCCCAACCACGGCTAGTTCACTGTGTACCCCATGCACATCCTGTGAGTGTTCATTGTGCACCCCATACTCATCCTGTGAGCCCTAGTGTATTGTGCACCTCATACTCATCCTGTGAGCCCTAGTGTATTGTGCACCCCATACTCATCCTGTGAGTGTTCATTATACACCCCATACTCATCCTGTGAGTGTTCATTATACACCCCATACTCATCCTGTGAGTGTTCATTATACACCCCATACTCATCCTGTGAGTGTTCATTATACACCCCATACTCATCCTGTGAGTGTTCATTATACACCCCATACTCATCCTGTGAGTGTTCATTATACACCCCATACTCATCCTGTGAGTGTTCATTATACACCCCATACTCATCCTGTGAGTGTTCATTATACACCCCATACTCATCCTGTGAGTGTTCATTATACACCCCATACTCATCCTGTGAGTGTTCATTATACACCCCATACTCATCCTGTGAGTGTTCATTATACACCCCATACTCATCCTGTGAGTGTTCATTATACACCCCATACTCATCCTGTGAGTGTTCATTATACACCCCATACTCATCCTGTGAGTGTTCATTATACACCCCATACTCATCCTGTGAGTGTTCATTATACACCCCATACTCATCCTGTGAGTGTTCATTATACACCCCATACTCATCCTGTGAGTGTTCATTATACACCCCATACTCATCCTGTGAGTGTTCATTATACACCCCATACTCATCCTGTGAGTGTTCATTATACACCCCATACTCATCCTGTGAGCCCTAGTGTATTGTGCACCACATACTCATCCTGTGAGCCCCAGTGTATTGTGCACCACATACTCATCCTGTGAGTGTTCATTATACACCCCATACTCATCCTGTGAGCCCTAGTGTATTGTGCACCACATACTCATCCTGTGAGTGTTCATTATACACCCCATACTCATCCTGTGAGCCCTAGTGTATTGTGCACCACATACTCATCCTGTGAGTGTTCATTATACACCCCATACTCATCCTGTGAGCCTACAGAAAACACAGAAGGTTTCAGTAAGACCCAAGAGTGTGTGTGTTAAAGAATATATGAAAGTTGCCAACAAGGTAATTTGCAGCCTTAACGATTCTAGCGGTTTGTTAGGAATAAGGCAAAATAATTTGCTTGTGCCTTATGCCGCGGAGGAGAGAGTCCCCTGGCGCCGGACGTGGGACGCCCTGGCGCGGGACGCCCTGGCACCGGACGCCCTGGCGCCGGACGTGGGACGCCCTGGCGCGGGACGCCCTGGCACCGGACGCCCTGGCGTCGGACGCCCTGGCGCCGGACGCCCTGGCGCTGGACGCCCTGGCGCCGGACGCCCTGGCGCTGGACGCGGGACGGCCTGGCGCTGGACGCCCTGGCGCCGGACGCCCTGGCGCTGGACGCCCTGGCGCCGGACGCCCTGGCGCTGGACGCGGGACGGCCTGGCGCTGGACGCCCTGGCGCCGGACGCCCTGGCGCTGGACGCGGGACGGCCTGGCGCTGGACGCCCTGGCGCCGGACGCCCTGGCGCTGGACGCCCTGGCGCCGGACGCCCTGGCGCTGGACGCGGGACGGCCTGGCGCTGGACGCCCTGGCGCCGGACGCCCTGGCGCTGGACGCGGGACGGCCTGGCGCTGGACGCCCTGGCGCCGGACGCCCTGGCGCTGGACGCCCTGGCGCTGGACGCGGGACGGCCTGGCGCTGGACGCGGGACGGCCTGGCGCTGGACGCGGGACGCCCTGGCGCCGGACGCCCTGGCGCGGACGCCCTGGCGCTGGACGCGGGACGCCCTGGCGCTGGACGCGGGACGGCCTGGCGCTGGACGCGGGACGCCCTGGCGCCGGACGCCCTGGAGCTGGACGCCCTAGCGCCGGTCACCCTGGCGCTGGACGCCATGGAGCCGGACGCCCTAGCGCTGGACGCCATGGAGCCGGACGCCCTAGCGCTGGACGCCGTGGAGCCGGACGCCCTGGCCCCGGACGCTGGACGCTCTGAGCATGAATGTGTGTCTTGGGCAACCTTCCTACATTCAGTTTTCAAGTGTTCTCAGCACTTAAAGGTAAAGGAAAATACCCGGAGGCACCACATGGTCTACGTTTTCTTTAGTTGTGGAATATGTGTAGGACTAAAGTATGATGGTCGGTAAAGTATTGTGATGGTCTTAATAACCCTCTTGGGGGTTGTTGATGCTAAGGAAACTAAGATTGGGATAATATATATATACGGGCTTAAGGCTAATGAACTTCGCGGATTATAAAGTCTTTAAAAAAACATACTGTAGCTAGTAAGTGTGTAGTTTAATCTAGAACAAAATTTAAGACCGAATTAAAATGTATACAATATAGGTTGCATACCTAAACTAACTACACTGAGCATATGCAATTAGACAATTGCATAGGCAATTAGACTTCTTTCTTCTTTCTTTTTTCTTACTACTTCTAAGCATCTTAAATGCTCTGAAAGAAGTGTTTCTTAATTTTTTTTTTTGACGCAATTTTCAACGTAACATTTGCAGAGCGTTGAAAGTGGCGTGTGAGAGGTGGTGACATGTGTGATGTTAAGCACTCAGCTTAAGCGTGTGTTCTTGCAGCTCAAGCTGGTGCTCTTTTGAAATAGAAATTGAAATTGAAATAAGTTTATTGAGGTAAAATACACACAAAGGGATGAGGTAGCTGAAGCTATTCTCACACCGTTCAGTACATCGTGTTAATACATACACCGTTCAGTACATCGTGTTAATACATACACCGTTCAGTACACCGTGTTAATACATACATATACACACAGTGGCGCTCTTGATTGAAGTTTTTAGTCCTCCAGGAACGACTGAAGGAATGGGTGAGGTAATCCACACTTGCTGAAATAATAAGCTAAAATTGTCAGCTGCTTCTCTCTGTTTATCGCGAACACAAGGAAGGAACTGACAATTTCTTTCTGTGAAAGAAGGAACAAAGATAAAGATTCGTACAGACACACACACATACTTTCATCATGCAACATATCTTTTTATGCTAGGTTTAAAGGGTTAAGCCTATCGACTGCTAGGATTTATAAAACGCGCAATAAATCTATGTTTATATAATCTTCACGTATATTTTTTTATACCGAAAAAATGCAGCTTAAAGTAAATGCAAGTCTATACATCTTTCTCTCTCTTTCTCTCTCTGTGAATACCTTGTGCTGACTCTAACAGCCGCCTTAACCCGTGTTGGGGCAATTATCTTCTGAATCGCCTTCACTATTTTAAGATAAATATTACATTAATCTCTCAATACATGACAATAACAACAAAAATTAGGATTATCCTTAACAGTGGTAATAGAAAACGCGTTGCATGGGTAACTAAACTATGGGTATTGTTATTGTTTGTGTGGGCCGTGATGCTCCGACAGGCTGAGTCAGTTTGAGCAGGGCGTCAACTAGTGGGCAGTGTAACTGTTACGTGTAGGTCTATACTTAAGTTCCTCCCGTCCTGGCCTCCTACAGGAGTAAGCAGTTCCATCACCGCCTCAATCATCGTGGAAGAGGAAGAGGACGAGCAGTCGCCTCCACTATGGGAGCGATCCAGGTGAAGCTCAGCTCTTAGCTCAGGTAAACGTTGCTGGTGATGGTGGGTGGAGGTGCTGGCTCGCCCCCCCTTCACCCCCCTCCCCACCCTCCCCCTTCACCACACACCCGACCACCACATCAACCACTGTCGCGGAGCTCCCATACAACTTCAGGTTTTGTCCATGCCTCAGGAATACAATTTTAGGTTCATTCATACGATGGGACAGTACAGAGAGAGCAGAGGATGTTGGTGAGGTATTAAGAGGCTCCCCAGCAGTGTGTCGGGGGTGTGGAGAGCAGCGAGGTGAGGTGTGGAGGGGGGTGGTAGTGTGGTGCTGTGTTCCAGGTCCTCCTATCTCCATCACCAGCTATGTATGCCACATGCAGGCGAGTCTTGGCCTGCCCAAGCCTCGCGCACGGCCATCTTAAACCCTTAGTGAGGTCTCTCACTCTTAGGAAGTAGCTGAGACCGTCTTGAGTGGAGTTGCTGTTGATGTGCTCCACTAGACGTCTGCCCTCACTCTTGTAAAGGCTTAACTTATGTGGCTAGTCTCTCTCTTATATTAATGTAACGTTAATCAATTTACTAAACGTGAACTCTGGTGATTCTGCCTGAATATCGGTGTTAACTAAACAAATATCATAAACTCAAACTAAAATGGTAGCTGGCTGTGTTGAGAGACTCTTCCAGCGGCCGCTGGAGCCCCGGCTGCCCCTCGCTGCTCAGTCACCAGCCCTGTGGCAGAGAGGGCGTAACCTGGGGTGACCACCACCTTCACCACCACCACCTCCACCACAGCCAGTCACCAAATGATTCTGTTTAGTTGTCGTTGGAGAATAAACCACTCCTTAGTGCTACCTTTAAATAACCAAGCTAACTAAATATATATCTTTGGTAACCACTGGCTGATGCATGATTAAATCTATTCACCTGTTTGCTTACTCTGGATAATAGTTGCTATAACTAAATTCTCACCTGTGCTTGCATGATGCTAAATAACTTTTGCATATTTAAGCCTAGTATTTTTAATTAGATTCCACCATGTTTGCACACCAATGGGCTCACCTGAACACAGAGGTTAGCCAAACAAGAATCATTTTGTGGGGTGCCTTGCATGAGGGCAGATCCCTGCAGGCCGCCGGGATGTGTGTGTGTGTAAGGATAGAGTCCACTTAACACATGCTGGGGGATAGTGGCCGAGGGCTAGTCACCAGGAAGCTGGCGTGTAGGCTTAACACCAGTGGACGGGAGGCAGCTGTGTGTGTATGTGTATGTATACACCAGCTGCCTCTCATACAGCTGCTGACACAAGTGATGTATATACTTGTGTATTAACACCTTCCAACACTCTCGCTAGACGGTGTCACTTGTTAAGTAGCTCACCTTTACATACTCGCAAGGCAAACATTTTTAGTCTTATATACATATACTTATATATACATACATATATATGTATGTTACATTTTTTTATAAATAGTTATTAGGCCTATGTTACAATTTTTAGACAGTTTTGAATTGTTAATATTTGCTCATTTTTGCAATTATTTTGTTGCATTGTAACAAAATTGTTAATTATGATGTAGCATACAGCTTTTCCTTGTCAGGTGAACTCCAGTCTTAATCTGTAGTTGTCTACGATGGCGGCCAAACTTATACATAGATAAGTCTTATAATGCTATATGATTAGAGCCTTTCAGTAAAATAATCATTTAAACAACAAAAAGCATGTTCCTTATTGAAAGTAAACCTCTTATTTGTGTGTCATTTTTTTTAATTAGAATTCTGTCTTAACACTTCAACGACTGACAACTTACTGCACTTCATATGAAAAATGTAATGTAGATATCTCACCTTTTTGTAGTAACTACTAGACAAGTATATTTGATCTTTGTGTGTCTTCCACACTGGCAGAATAAACAGTGTCTTCCTTCACGATATCTTAAGATGTGTGTGTCGTAGTTACTGCTTGTTGGAGTCCCGCCTCTACCATGAGACGTCGTCCTCACTTGTATCACAGTGTGCAAGAACACATTGTATATATTACTTAATGTCTTTGTCCAAGAAATCACGAGTTAAATAGTCAACAATTGGGTACAATAGTGGACACTGTGTTGCATCAAATATTTTTACGGAAAATCTAATTTGTAGTTTGATTCCGTGAAGAGGAGTAAACATGAGTCATTAGCAAATGTAACTAATATACAGCTGCTTTATTCTCAGTCATTGATAAAAATATTTCAGTATACATGTGGCTGTTGCTCCTGCCATATGAAATACCATAGTGAATGCTGGGTGCCCCCTGTTGTGCATCTCACCGCCCCTAGTATAATCGGGTCTGGTGTAAACATGACCCCAGACAAGTGGTCACCCATGCTCTCCTCACCACCGTGTCTATCGTGTCGCTGCCTGGAGAATGGGTCAGCATGTAACTTACTCATTAAGACGAGTGAGGTGGATGGTGTCCCCCTACATACAGTGCTTACTACTGTGACTAAACTTTTGTCTCTCCCACAGGAGGATGTCTGCCATCTGCTTCGTATGTAACCTGCCCATCCTGAGCCACCAGGTGGGACTCGTGTGGGAGGGAGGCAATGGCTACGACGAACTCCAGAGCGAGAGCTCGTCCCCGAGGCCTCGAGTGGGTCGCCGGGACTCCTCTGCTCAGATCACCACCATCGAGCCACCTCGCGAGGTGCGGGAGACTTCTCCTCCCACCTCCCGCAGGCGACGATCCTCCCTCGCGCAGCTCACAGACATCCTTCGGGATTGGGGGAGACGAGACTTGACGGAACAGCGCTCCACCAGCACCTGCACGACGACCACCAGCACTCCTGTGGGTCCTCTCACCCGCAGGGAGAGTCGCGACCTCAGCCGCAGAGAGTCCATCGCAGATATCGCGAGGTCTCTACCGTGGCGACGGAAAGACTCCATCGTCGAAGTTCCGCGAATTAAGACCCGGCGGGAGTCCTCGGCGGAGATGAAGAAGAGGCGGCAGAGTGGCACAGACATCCGCTCAGACATTGCTAAGTTTCTGGCCCGACGAGAGAGTGTAGCGGAGATCTTACGGCGGCGTCGAGACTCCCTCGAGCAGGAGAAGAAGGAGCGCCGGGACTCGACGACGCAGGTGTATACACGCTCAAACCGCAACAGTATAGACAAGACCGCTTCCCCCGACCGGCCGGAGATACATTCCCCTCGACACGTGTCCTCCCCCGAGCCCCGAGATCTGACCCCAAGAACCGTTGTTACCACGCAGGTGTCCGCGGAGTCGCACGTGTCGCAGACCTCACTGGTGTCGCAGGTGTCGACGGGAGGAAAGGACCCAAGTGAGCCTGGCGTCGCGGAGCCCAGGTCTCCGGTGTCGTCTCCGGCACCGTCCTCCCCAACGACAACTCTGCGACGAGAGTCTACCACACAGATATACCGCGGGAGGCGAGACTCTCGCCCTCAAGTGTCACCTGAGCGAGGCTCCGGAAGAGGCAGTCGAGAACCATCACCAAAATATCGAGGACTGCGTCGACAGTCCACCGCAATCGAGGAGAGTCTCCCACTTCCCGGATCTCGTCGAGGCTCTCGTCCGTTCCTGTCTCCTGACGCCCCAGAGACAGATGGACTGTCTAAAAAGTGCCGGAGAGACTCTTTGTCACCGGATTCGGCGGCAGCAGAAGAACTGTCTATGGGCAGAAAGGGGCGACGGGACTCTCGGCCGCACTTGTCTCCCGAGGCCAGCGACTCCAACTCGAGAGAAACATCTCCCAGAAGCCGGTTAAGAAGACAGTCGACCACGGCCGCCGAGTATTGCGGACGCGGCCGGAGGCCTTCACGCTCCCCACGCTCCCCAGACTCCTCCTCAACATGCTCCTCCAGAGAACACTCGCCCAAAGAGCGTGGACTTCGACGTCAGTCAACCACCGAAGAAATCTTACTGTCTCGAGGATTTCGCCGACAGTCGACAACAGAAGACATCATGCGCGCCCGTAATTTCCGACGTCAGAGCACGCAAAGTGAAGAGATGTCCAAGTCTCGAGGGCGGAGAGACTCTAGCGCCCAGATCACCGACGGCACGCTGGCCACCATGACTGTCGAGACCTCCTGTGCCTTCTTCGACACCTCAACGCAAACAGGTAATGCTTTGTACTTACACAGTTTCCATTACCGCCAGGGCACCATTCCATGATAGGATTTTCTCTGACTTATCATATAATCCTCATCCTAACAAATTGGAGATGTTATAAATGCGTTATAAATACATCACACTTTGTATTCCAGCTGTTGTAAATACATCAGTGTTCTTCTGTATGGCAGCTGTTCTAAATGTATCAAGCTTCCTGTCTTATTAGTTGTAGTGTTGTGTTCGGCATAAGTGTGTTCGTTAATAATTTCGCACATTTGCAATATTTAAGTCCCAGCTCGAATATGGCGAGTCCAGTTGAGATTTGTTATGCAAGTCCAGTAGCTCAGTAGCGAGTCCAGTTGAGATTTGTTATGCAAGTCCAGTAGCTCAGTAGCGAGTCCAGTTGAGATTTGTTATGCAAGTCCAGTAGCTCAGTAGCGAGTCCAGTTGAGATCTGTTATGCAAGTCCAGTAGCTCAGTAGCGAGTCCAGTTGAGATCTGTTATGCAAGTCCAGTAGCTCAGTAGCGAGTCCAGTTGAGATTTGTTATGCAAGTCCAGTAGCTCAGTAGCGAGTCCAGTTGAGATTTGTTATGCAAGTCCAGTAGATCAGTACAAGACGGAAAAGCCTTCTGCCCTACAAATATTGATACATTCGTTGCTTGCAGAGTTGACACAGAATTGCTGCTTTTGCTGAGATTGCTCAGGTCATTGATCTGAGAAGGAGATCTCCGAGAAGGTTTTCTGTGTGTCAACTCTACAAACAACGAATGTATCAATATTTGTAGGGCAGAAGGCTTTTTCCGTTTTGTATAGAGCTACTGGACTTGCATAACAAATCTCAACTGGACTCGCTACTGAGCTACTGGACTTGCATAACAAATCTCAACTGGACTCGCTACTGAGCTACTGGACTTGCATAACAAATCTCAACTGGACTCGCTACTGAGCTACTGGACTTGCATAACAAATCTCAACTGGACTCGCTACTGAGCTACTGGACTTGCATAACAAATCTCAACTGGACTCGCTACTGAGCTACTGGACTTCCATAACAAATCTCAACTGGACTCGCTACTGAGCTACTGGACTTCCATAACAAATCTCAACTGGACTCGCCATATTCCGAGCTGGGACTTAAATGTCGTAAATGTGCGAAATTATTAACGTACAAACATGCGGAACACAGCAATATAAGTCTCGTACACGTGACTTGATATCTACCAGAGTGAACACACATTCGGATAGACTCATGAACCTGATCCACTTGTGTGCAGTTATCACACCCTCAGCAGATGTCTCTTTATGCAGATGATGAGTCACAATAACGTGGCTGAAGAATGTTGACCAAACCACACACTAGAAGGTGAAGGGACGACGACGTTTCGGTCCGTCCTGGACCATTCACATGTCGATTGTATCATGTTCCCTCAATCGACTTGATTCAGTCCAGGACGGACTGAAACGTCGTCGTCCCTTCACCTTCTAGCGTGTGTGGTTTGGTCAGCGGGTGTCTCTTATTTTTTATTCGACGAGAGAGAGAGAGAGAGACAGACAGAGAGAGAGATAGAGAGAAAGAGAGACAGAGAGAAAAAGAGAGAGAGAGGACAGTCCGTGTTGAGGTCTTTGTTCAAGTGGTCGTCAACCCCTTAGATGGGAGAACTGAATTATTACAGCATCAAATAAGACAGCGTTCGGAGGCCGTAAATTAAGACCCCTGGTTCGATTCCCGGCTGAGGCAGAAACAAATAGGGCAGAGTTTCTTTCACCTTGATGTACCTGTTCACTTAGCAGTAAATAGGTACCTGGGAGCTAGACAGCTACCACTGGCTGCTTCCTGGGGGATGTGTATGTGTGAATCACAGGGAAATATATGTAGTAGACATAATAGGGGAAAAACTAAATTAGTTAGAAAGGCGGGGTCCAAGAGCTAATAGCTCGCTTCTGTAGGCACAAATAGTAAATATACAGGTGATCTTGGCCGTGATTTATATATATATATATATATATATATATATATATATATATATATATATATATATATATATATATATATATATATATATATATATATATATATATATGCAATTGACGATCACAAAACACTGATCATTTTTTTTTTTTTATGCGGAAAATCCACAGAGAAATATGAAATGAGGTGAACGTTTCGGCTTGTTAAAGCCTTTGTCAACGCCAGACTCAACACCAGAGTCTGGTGTTGACAAAGGCTTTAACAAGCCGAAACGTTCACCTCATTTCATATTTCTCTGTGGATTTTCCGCATATATATATATATATATATATATATATATATATATATATATATATATATATATATATTGTACTTTACTTTCTACATATCCAAACTTTAATCTTATATTCATATATATATTTAGTCAATTACTTTATATATGCGATTTTAGGTCGGTTTTTACTGGCGTCTGCGAGTCTGGAGCAGATTAGGTTAAAGACAGTCCGCTCCAAGAACAGCGGAGCTGGCTAAGGTTTTTATTACGTATAATCAAAAGGAAAATGCCCGAAGAAAATATTACCAGCACAGTTATGTTGTCAATGGCGAACCGTAACTAGCAGTTGCAAATTATCTTCTTGAAAACTGGCTACAGTTGCAAGAGGCGGAGAGCGTTGGCGCCTATGTGGAGCAGGGTAGTACAGTGCCCTCACCCTGCTGGGTACAGCGGTGCCCTCACCCTGCTGGGTACAGAGACGCCCTCACCCTCCTGGGTACAGCGGTGCCCTCACCCTGCTGGGTACAGCGGTGCCATCACTCTCCTGGGTACAGAGACGCCCTCACCCTGCTGAGTACAGCGGTGCCCTCACCCTGCTGGGTACAGAGACGCCCTCACCCGTCTGGGTACAGAGGTGCCCTCACCCTGCTGGGTACAGAGACGCCCTCACCCGTCTGGGTACAGAGGTGCCCTCACCCTGCTGGGTACAGAGACGCCCTCACCCTCCTGGGTACAGAGACGCCCTGCACCCGTCTGGGTACATAGACGCCCTCACCCGTCTGGGTACAGAGACGCTTTCACCCTCCTGGGTACAGAGACGCCCTGCACCCGTCTGGGTACAGAGACGCCCTCACCCTCCTGGGTACAAAGACGCCCTCACCCGTCTAGGTACAGAGGTGCCCTCACCCGTCTGGGTACAAAGAGGCCCTCACCCGTCTGGGTACAAAGACGCCCTCACCCGTCTGGGTACAAAGACGCCCTCACCCGTCTGGGTACAAAGACGCCCTCACCCGTCTGGGTACAAAGAGGCCCTCACCCGTCTGGGTACAAAGACGCCCTCACCCGTCTGGGTACAAAGAGGCCCTCACCCGTCTGGGTACAAAGACGCCCTCACCCGTCTGGGTACAAAGAGGCCCTCACCCGTCTGGGTACAAAGACGCCCTCACCCGTCTGGGTACAGAGACGCCCTCACCCGTCTGGGTACAGAGACGCCCTCACCTGTCTGGGTACAGAGACGCCCTCACCCGTCTGGGTACAGAGACGCCCTCACCCTCCTGAGTACAGAGACGTCCTCACCCTCCTGGGTACAGAGACGCCATCACCCTCCTGGGTACAGAGACGCCCTCACCCTCCTGGGTACAGAGACGTCTTCACCCTCCTGGGTACAGAGACGTCCTCACCCTCCTGGGTACAGAGACGCCATCACCCTCCTGGGTACAGAGACGCCTTCACCCTCCTGGGTACAGAGACGCCATCACCCTCCTGGGTACAGAGACGCCTTCACCCTCCTGGGTACAGAGACGCCCTCACCCTCCTGGGTACAGAGACGTCCTCACCCTCCTGGGTACAGAGACGCCCTCACCCTCCTGGGTACAGAGACGCCCTCACCCTCCTGGGTACAGAGACGCCATCACCCTCCTGGGTACAGAGACGCCCTCACCCTCCTGGGTACAGAGAAGCCCTCACCCTCCTGGGTACAGAGACGCCCTCACCCTCCTGGGTACAGAGACGCCATCACCCTCCTGGGTACAGAGGCGCCCTCACCCTCCTGGGTGCAGAGACGCCCTCACCCTCCTGGGTACAGAGACGCCCTCACCCTCCTGGGTACAGAGACGCCATCACCCTCCTGGGTACAGAGACGCCCTCACCCTCCTGGGTACAGAGACGCCCTCACCCTCCTGGGTACAGAGACGCCCTCACCCTCCTGGGTACAGAGACGCCCTCACCCTCCTGGGTACAGAGACGCCATCACCCTCCTGGGTACAGAGACGCCTTCACCCTCCTGGGTACAGAGACGCCCTCACCCTCCTGGGTACAGAGACGCCTACTCAACTGTACCTGATGACTACTTCGATCAGTCTTGTGTAACAGTATTGACAACGCTGTTCACCTGACAATGTTCACTGATGTGTATTCTGTTCTGCTGTGTTACAGTCATTCAGTTTAACTGTATCACAGTTTACAGGTAAACTTTATGTTTAACTGTATGAAGAATGTTTACCTCAAACATTCCTCATTGCACCTATTTTTCAGCCCATCTTCCAAAAAATTATTGTATTCTGCTATATGATCAAACGAGCAAAAATGGAATGAGTAAAAAAAGTGCTATCATGTGCTATCCTAAGTCTAATTTTGTACACATATATGTACTATACTAGGCCTAGGAAGATTTTTGGTTTGGTGGCATTTATATCGTACTTTTTCACGATAAAAGTATTCTATAGGCGGGTATATAGTGTAAAGTGTGCTGACGGGGGGGGGGGGGGCAGCAGTCCATGTTCTCGGGGGTGGCTGACAGCGGCTATATGTACTGTCAGCTCTGGAGGATAGGGTGGGATAGGGTGCAGGCTGGGAGGATGACGCTTTAAACAAGTCAAACTGAAACTCTCTTACCACTTTTAAGTCCCAACTTGGGATCATAAACTTAATGGCTAAAAAAAATCGACTTCAGTCAATTATGTAACACTTTAGATGCTCTTGCACACTTGTTACTCTTCAAGGTCATGTTATCCACCATTTGTTAAGTGTTCAAGGCTATTCACCGAG